GACCTTGGAACAATATCGAAACATCGATGAGGAAACGTAAGCCGGGGGTTAAACTTGTTAAAAGGGGATCCTCGAGGTCCTGGCTCGCGTCCGGTCTCAGGATCTTCCGGAGGGAATTAAATTCCCTCCTCCGTCGGTGGCGGGACCCGGAGGATCCACCTTTCGGGGCATTGTGTCCCCGAGAGAAGCGCACAATGGCCGGCACGAGAGGGCACCGGAGGGAGGTCCGTATTGTGTCCAGGACGCGGCGGAACGGAGCGCAACCCCCTTGACTTTCGCGGGAACAACGGGGGAGCATCTGCCCGTGGACTGGCAAAATCCCTCGGAATCTCCCGGGATCCCTCCGAAATCCCTCCCGAATCCCCGCGAATCCCACCCGGGGGTTGCGGGGATATAATGGGACGTGATAACTTTAACCTCCGAATTAGCGCCGCAAACCTCCCCCAAGGATTAAGGGTGGCGACGCGTGCCACCGAGTCCAGGTCCTTCCATATCCGTCGGGCGATCGTCTCGTCTCCGTCGAGCGATTCCTTAATCACCGAGTCCTCCCCCGTACAGGATATCCAAAGTTAGTCGGAACCCCTCCTGGAGGTTGGATTTTTCTTTTCCGGAGGAGGGAAAATGCCGATTCCGGGGAAGTTGTCCGCGAACGAGGCGCCTCCCCCAGGGCGGCTCTCCCGGGAACGCGATAAAGTTCGCGTAGGGGTAATTTGAGTATAAAGTTTTATTCGCAATAATTTAGCCCTGGATAGAGGCTCTCCCCGGGAAGCGGGAACGCGGGTCATATATTTGATGGGATACTTGGCATAAAGTCGCGCATAAAAGTAATGCCGACATTAAAGTTTGCGGTTCCAGACCAGGGCGCACCCGCCCCCCTTTCCCCATCCCCCACAACCTCTCTGCACGCGCCCCCAGGATGCACATGCACTTCTGCATCTACCCTCAGTTAATGTCTCTGCGCGTCCGAACGTTGCGAATATTTCCAAGGGGGTTGCGGCTTATCGATTGCACCTGCATCTCTTTTGAAGATGCGCCTGCATGGGAGTCTTATGGCTGGCAATGGTCCATGGATCGTAAGGGTTCCGAGGGGTGCCTGGAAATTCCTGAAAAAATATCCCTTTCTAACGGACTCCTTCAACCCTTCAGACGGAGAAACAAACGGGGCTCGTATCGAAGAAAGAGAGAGAGGTCGAGATACAGGTGCAATCTTGCAACCCCCTTCGATATTGAATATTGCAAATATTAACAAAGAAAAAGAAAAACTGGGGTTTATTGATTCCCCTAGAATAAACCCTTTTGAAGACCTGAACTCTAGGGGAAAATTGCCAGATCGACAATCATCCTCTGGAAAAATAGCGGCGCAATTTCGGAAACCGAGTTCCCAAGACTCTTGTCGACATTTACGTTTTCTTTTTGTTTTTTTTTTTTTGTTCAAATCATTTCCACAATTTTATTCGAATCTCACGATCGCGTTGTATTTTTACATCCGCAAAATAGAGGTAAAAGTGACAACTTGGTGAATTCGACGAAAGTCAATCGGCTTAAATACGAAAAACATATTTTTGGATAAATGATCCAATTAAGGCAGTCTTATTTTACGGAACTTGAGAGGATTCTCAGGGGGCTCGCAGGTGTCTCGAAACCCCTGCAAAAAAATACTCGTTTTTAATGGACTCCTTGAGTGCAATGGGGGAGACGGAGAGGCCAAACTCGTAGGGTAGAGAGAGAGGTCCGAGGGCGTCACGGGGGTGGGTTTTCGGATATACGCGGCCGAGTAGTTTAGTTCTGGAGTGGCCTTTGGGGAACGATCTGCCGGCGCCAGGGGAGGCATGGCTCCTTCCCACGTGGCGCCTCGACTCGCAACCCCCATAACTCTGGCCGCCACCCCCACCCACCGTAAACGGGGGCGTCGCGACGCCCGAGGATCACCCCGTGATTTCCGAGCGCTCGCGAGGCCCGCTCGCAAATCCAGGGTGGAGTCGCCCCCGTAGGGTGCACCACCCCATAATCCTCGATTATATTCTTGACTAATAATCGAGGGATAAGTCCGAGCGCCGGTTCGAATCGGCCCTTTCGTCACGGGGGGGATGTTTCGGGGCGTGTTTCACGGGGATGACTTTCACGCGAGATTTCTGGCGCACTTTACCCCACACTTTATTCCACTCCTTATTTCGCACCCGCACACACCTAATCAGTATGTGGAATTAATCTAGAAAATCCACCGGACGTAATTTCTACCCTCCACCCTGACGATATTTCCGATTAATATTCCAGGGATTAATACCCTAGATTTGGAATCATAGGGGTGAAAACTCGGGATGGATTTCACCACACAGTTTTTCTCTTTGGTCTTTCGTCGCGTGAAATCTCGATGTAGCACCTCATTTCGAATGAACCCTCCGCTGCGCTGGAGATGAAGATCTCCCTTCGGAACCCCATGAAAAATCGGCACCCCTTAATCCATCGCGGTAATCACGGGACGTTCGTCTCGCGAGAATGATCCACCGGGACGGAACGGGATATTACTCGGTCATCATTTCTCGGAGACGCGTAATTTCCATATCGGTCGAGTCATAATTCGCGTCGAAGCGTCCCCTGAAAAATCGGGTGCTCGATCGGGGCTGAAGGAGCAGGAGGGCCATTTATTCCCGGCCGCAGGACGACGCCGAAGGATCCTTGTTTATCCCTTCGGGGAGGGTCGGAAAACCGGTGCTCCCTCCATGGGGCCGTTCCCCATGGGGTGCCGTAGAGGGAGGGTTCTTCCCGCGGTCGGCGAACGGAGACACTCCGCAATTATATGGAGGACCCTGGAGGGGGAGGAAAAATCGAGGGGTCGACGAAAATGGAGGAGCGTCGCTGATATTTCCCTGGCGGGGAAACGACGTGCCCCCTCCGAGAGTTTCACGACTTTCGACCGTAAAAGCCGCTCCTGCTCCGTAAAACGGCCTCCGGAAATCCGCGGACCTGCAACGACCGTTTGTTTACCTCGGGAATTCGACACAATGTAGAGTGACTTTTTCAAAGGAATTATCATTCTCTCTCGTTACCTTCCTGGACGACACGACGGTCACGATCACTGCGAAATTCGACGATTTAGAGGGAGTTAATATTTAAAATTAATTATTATTCGAGTGTCGTCACCTTTGCCTCGACCATGGTGGTCGCTCAGACCTTGGGCTTCTGCCATCGTGTCATCGATTCCGAGCAAAAGAGTCCAGCTCGTGTTTATCCGGCTCTCCACGTATATCGCCTGTCCCAGTTCTCGACCATCTGCGAAGTGCACGTTCGCCAAACTGCTCCAGAAAAACGTGGAAACGTGATCGATCGCTCATTTCACGCGATCCGCGATAACGAGACTCGTAACCGACATCAACGTATCGTGCGCCTCGGCATTTTAATCTCGTTAAAATATCTCGGCACGAAATATCGAATTTTCCGAGGTAACTGTTCTTTCGCCATTTTTCTTTCTTATCGGAAGTGAGATCATAGCCTCTAACGAAGTGACAACCCGCGATCGAAAAAGCAGACTCGTACTGGGATCGCTCCTTCGGCGTTCCTCCGGAGCTCTTTTTTCTACCGACCCAGTCACGGGTTACACGATGATTAATTACGATTACCCGGGCACTTGGTGCACAATCATGCCGGCCAGTTTGCGACTCACCGCCACGCCGAGTGCCCGCCGCGAGATGCGTGGAACGGCTCTCGATTCCCCCATCTAGAAAGAGACGCGGCGATGCGGCCGCCACGGGAGCGAGAGAGAGGGGAATACCTCTCCATTGTCCGAGCCGCGGCCGCCAGGCGGCGACACTCCTCTACTGAGAATAACTCCGTGACGCTGCGGAACGTCGCATATCATGGTCGCATAATCGCATCGAGAGGCGCCGAGCGACGCTAACGAAGCTTAGGACCCCTCCCCGCCCCTCTGTGGTCTGGTAACTCGTTATTATCCCCGATACCCTTGATGTCCTCCGCACGTCCGGAGTCAAGATGGCGGGGGTGACGGTGTCGCTCCCGTTCCTTCTAGCGTCACCTCTTGGCCGAGACGTAACGACGAAGGTACGTGCAACGATTCATGAAATTCACATCCTTCCCTAACGCAAAACCCAACGCGATGTATTTTCTAACGAGTTCGTTTAATTCTAACCGATATTTCCTCGACTGAATTTCTCAACTGGCGCGCCGATCAAGATGGCGGCCATGTTGGCATTCGGGCCGCTATTAGTCCGAGTGGAGGAGGACCTTAATGGGGCCGAGGAGGCTTTCGCTCCGTGTTCCGATAGCCGGTCGAATTTCCCCGTGCTATCGGCGTGATTTATCAGAGCCCTGGACCGCGGAGTCGGCGGGGATGGGCTCGGCCGTAATGGCCCGACATTAAGTCGTTCGTTCGCGCTGCGGATGCGTTTGCGGGCTAGGTAATCGCGGGGGTGCGAGCGACGGCGATCAATCAGATGACACCTGTTGCCCTGACCTCTCCCCTCGCTCGCTCGCCACCTTCGCCAATTCGCAACAATTAGCGGCGATCCTTATCACGGCTGCCGGCGAGGGTGGATAACCTGCGGCGACCCTGCAATAAGCTTCACGGAACATTGTCGATTTGACGGTATCCAAGAAGCGATCTCAAGCCCTCCCTAAAGGAATCCTACATTACAAAAAACTTCGAGTATTAAGATTACAAAACTATACAAAACACAATTAACCCTCTGAACCCGAATTTTCTTCTGAAACCTAGAAAAAACTTTTGTAACCTGGAATTTCCATATAATGATCACCTGATATTAACGAACTATTTATCTTAAAAGTGTTCAATTTATGAACAAATTCCTTGGTTACAAAGGAGCGATAAGGTGATAAGTTAAGTTTCAACGGGAAAATCGAATGCGTTTCATCGACGTGGTTTCAAGGTTACACGGGTTTATATAATTTGGGTAAAAGCCGGTTGGGGCTTAGAGGGGACGAGGATGATATCGATTGTATGGCTGATAAGACCGGATTGTTCTCAGGATCGTGAGGAACAAGGCCGCCGAGAAGGCGAAGCACGCACACCAGCAGCAGCAGGCGCAGCAGCAACAAGGTCAGCAACAAGGCCAGCCAGGATCAGGTGGTTCCGTGTCGGTCATAGCCCATGCACCGGCCACGGCCGCTGGGCATCCCGCTGCAACTGCACCGAACGCCTACAGCATCAGCGGCATCCTCGGGATACCGGCCCACCATCAAGATCCCAACGGCAACAGCATCAAGAGAAAGCGCGCCGACGACGGTGAGTCTCGATCGGCGATATCGCTGCCTCTTTTTCGCGTCCTTTCTTCTCTTCTCATCCCTCGAGGCGATATCGAGTTTAATGCTTCCTTTCCAACTTTTCTCGTGTTTTCCTTGAATTTCTTTTAACGGGGACGAAGGACCTCAAGAGGGTGCCATTTCTCGACGCAGGTTGCAGGCTCTTCGGGTGTCTAAATACCTCGTTGAAGATGCCGAAGAAGTCCAAAACGCGTCGGTGGAGGATCGTTACACTGGATGACGATGTTGTAGAGGACGAATTCGGTAAATCCAGCCTTTGAGGGCGGATTTATTAATTTTTCAAGGTTATCGGTCAAACGTCGAGCAGCACGTGCTCCCATTCATTCCGCCGTCGTTGCGTGAACAACGCGGTCTGAAATATACCCGCCACGTGGCGACTCGTGGCACGTCACTTCGGGTGGAGGGAAGTCTTGGAGAGGTCGGATGGACGCCTTCGAAGAGTCGCTATCGGTGTTGGGGCTCGACGGTTCGTTGTTCTATTTGGCGACTAAGCGCTTTTTTTTTTTTACTGCAGAATTTTGGAATTTGATATTCGCTATTTTGAGGAATTCCAAAAAGTGGGTTTAGGGTGGTCGCTTTTCTTTTCGTAGATAACAAGGGCACGTTGCATCTCCTCGGGTGTCGGTATCCTTTAGGGATTTTGAAAAGGAGAAAACGAGTTAGGCCAATTTCGGCGGCGATGTCTGATATGAGAGACGCGGGAGTTCCAATCCTGGAGAGTCCTGTGGGACGCTTCCCGGACCCATCGGGACTCCTGCCTAACGACCGCCGATGCACCCGAGTAATTCGATACAATTCGATTATGAGCGCTGTGATATGCGGTCGCGAAGTGGCCGCGGCCGCGGCCAAAGCACTCAATGTCCGCGCCGCGGACGTATTGGATTACAAACTTCACAGACCGCAGTGGATCGCATGTGCCGGCGACGCATTACTCCACCTACCCCCCGGGGACGGCGACGTAAGCACCCTCCACCACCCCCGATTCCCACGATTGCCAGAGAATAATGTGTCGGTCCGATTTCTCGCAAACCTCACCAGGTGACCAAGAGTCGCGTTTCCTTCGGACCTTGAAGTTCCCTGTAGTTACCTTGACGAAATGGTGAAGTAACTCTTCTTATATTACGCTGATTACCGCAGCTGCCCAGGTTGTCCCGAAATCGTTACAATTGCCAAAATCATGGTTTTTCCGACCGTTCTTCATTTCTCTTCCCGCGTCTCTAAGTGATCTCTGCGTGGGATTTCCCGCATGACTTTTCGCACTAAAATACCATAATTTCCAGAGTAATTACCCCCTGTTCCCTGAACTTCTCGACCCGAAAGAAGACTCGATCCAAGGAGACTCGTTCAGCTCCCATAAAACCAGGTGGACCCAGAAGTAGCCCCCGGAAAGACCCCGAAGAAGCTCCCTGGACCACCGTGTCGCCCAAGGGAGATCCTCCTCGTAATTTCCAGCGACTCGAACGAATCGAGGGTGGGCGGGGGTGCGCAAGACGCAAATTAAACCCGCGCCCGGCCAAATTGAATCCGTCGTCCGAACGGTGTCGAGCATCCCTCGGCCGGTGTATGGCATTGATAGATAGAGAAACAATTTCGATTCCATTATACGTCTTTATTATATCGCGGCCATCCCGGCGGTTTAATACGCGAAATGGGGACGGGCGGATCGGAGGGCCGGCAAGTGGCCTCCACCCGGGTGGATTGGAGCAGCGAAAGGGTTGCGCCCGGGGGTTGGGACGGCTATCTCGAATAATTAAATGACCATCCGGGGGTGGCGGGCCGGGGGCAGCTCGCTGGCATAGGGCTCGTTAAACCTCCCTGTCAAGTTGCGATTGTCCGCCCGGGCGGCTGACCGACCATTCGAACCGGCCAGGACCGCTATAAAACCGTTTCGGACCCGTTACCTCCAGGGGACCGAGTTTTACGATCGAATCGGACCAAGCCCCGCCCTGACACCCCCGATAATATTTAGGGTTATCAACGAACGCTCCCATTTGCCCCGCTCTCGGTTTTCCCGCCGATGGCGAAATCTAATCGAACCGTCTGGTAGTCGATCTCGAAAGATATGTGTACCTTCACGTATTTACTACTCGATAGGAGTTTCGTTTATCGGGAAATGTATCGTATCGTAATGAGTCCTGTTATCAAAATTAAGTGCCCGGTAAAGCCACGTCGGCCATATTGAATTTTCAGAGGCGAGGAAATCCCGGAAAATTCCCAATCGGTAATCTACGATGCGAATAACATTTCCTATCTGTGCACTGCGAAACAAGATATTGCCCTTCAGAAATTGTCTACCTTGACGGTGATAGGATTCCCAGGTGAGAATTCGACAATGAACGCAATTCCAACCAGACGCGAATTGGTCGACACATTTGACACACCTAATGGTCATTACGGCACCCACATTTCCTCAAGAACGTCAAAATTGTAGCCAAATACCTCTTGGGAATTTCCGCGCTTTCCTCGGCGTGAAAATCCAATATGGCCGACCTGGCTTTACCGGAACCTTAAAGAATTCCCAAAAATATCGAGTCACCCGCACGAAATCGCTCATATTTCCACTCGCATGGGGAAGAGATATAAAAAATTGAGCTTTTACATTGAAATTGTAGTGTTAGAAAAAAATGGAATGGTGTCGAGACTTAAGGAATCTTCTAGGTCAGGCCATCGGGTTGTCGAGGCCCCCAATCCTACAATGGGTCGCGATATCGGAATTAAATGAATTCCAACGAGCCGGGACAAAGAGGAGCGGTGTTCCTCAGTCGATAGTAGAGTTTTCCCCGAGGAAGGGCGCCGCTACCCACGTGGTCTGCTCCAAGGACGATTATGTCTCATCGTGTTCCATCAGCGGGTCCCGGGGTCCCGGAAGGAGCGGCAAATCGAATGATTCCATCGTCGGCTCGAAAGGGCAGCTCCCGCGCGTTATTCGAAAGCAATTGAGTCAACGTTAAGCAATACAATACACGGGTAATAATGGACCATGGGGCGAGGCCGGTCCTGGGGTGCCCGAATGGGGACCAGGGGGATCTGCATGGGGTAGGACCGCGCAGATGTAACGCGACAACAAACAGCCAGGGATGGGTCGCTGCTTCTGCAGAGAGGAGCCCTTCGTAAATTCGTAATAAGTCAGAAGTTCACCCCGAGAACCGCGAGGCCCGGGTCAAACGTGAAAAGACAGCGGCACTCCCGAGGATGTCCTCTCCGGAGCGACGATCGCGACCCCCGGACACCATGGGGCCCCATTCATCCCTCATTTCGGGGGCGCCGCTCTTTTCTCCCTCTTCCCTCTTTTAGAAATTTCCTGCACGTCGGCGGAGTCCCTCTCCGTCAAACTCTTCAGGGTCTCGCCGACCTTGAGCTCCTCCTCTTTAAATCCTGAGATAAAGGAAAGGTTGATCCAAAGGAATATGCAAAGCCGCGAGAACATCCTGCGATCGCGTCCAAAGAAGTGTCGGGACGATTAAAGAAAATTCGTTAAAATCGATGATATCGTTCTTTCTTCTCGACAGAATAATTGTTTCTTGCAATTATATATGCATACGATTCAGGCAACGATATATATATATATATATATATTTCTTTCGGTCAACTAATCTTCCTTCTCAGTGCAGTACGGACTGGGATGAGCAGAAGAGCCAAAGTCCTTGAAAATGAGGCAATGCACCTCGAAGAGGGGGTTATTCTTCACAGTTAACCCTGAAATCCTCCTTTCTCGTCACCTTGTAAGGGTCTAATGAGTGTAAGGGTGAAGAAGTTGTTGAAAATAGGTCGACGCACCTCGACGATAGGATTATACTCCGATTTTGGTCCAGGTCGTCATTTCTCCTGCGGCAAGGCAGACCAGCCCGCGAGTCCTCGGCAAAGGGAATGTCGAAAGAGGTTCCCGGGCGAAAGGCAAGATCTAATTTGGCACTCTCTCGCGCTCTTTCGATCCCCGGTCGCGATAAGCGGTCCGCAGCGTTATTTCCTCGCCTCGCGGAGGAAGTCGTGCCCCGGGGTCTTATTGTGGTCCCGCCGAGTAACCGAAATATCCCGCCGAGGGCCGATGCGAAAACGCAATTAGCCCCGAGGAGGCTTTACTTAGCCCGAATCGCGCTCGTACGAGGTACGAGCCGAGACGGAGATATCGCCAGAAGCGAGAGACCAATGAGGCCTTTGTTCCGTTCCAGATGAAAATCGCGATCTGAACGATCACCCGGAGGACGACCTCAAGAGACAAAGGAGTAATTACAACGGCGATCAGCTCTACTCGAACGTGAGTACCCTCTCCTGGCATTCTTCACCAATTTCAGACGTCCCCAGTGCGCGGTCTGCGTCCATAAAAAGAAAATTAAAAAATCTAAAGGAGACCGTCGTGGTCTCGAAACCAAAATGGCCGCCGCGGTGTAAAGGAGCCGGCTGGACCGCGCACGGCTTCCTTTCTCTTCCTATACCTTTCTCCATGTACGGCTGGATTAATAAGCTGGAGCCCATTTATCTCAAGAATTGAAAACCCACTCTACTGATCGGACGGAAGAAAATACAAATTCGCTCGGAAATCAGTGAAAACAATTTCCTGTTTCGAGAACCGATCGCCTTTGATTTTATACGGTAAACGACAACGCGATTCGATAACGAGGAACGATCGGCCATCAAATTGTGACAAAATCTATCTAATTTTCACCGATTTCCAGCCGTTTTGACGGCATTTCGAGCATGATAAAGATCCATGATATTCCAAGGGAACAACCCCTCTCAAAATCTCAGTACCGCCGTGTTCCATGGCACTTTTTCTAGACATGCGTCCAAGATGGCCGCCGCGATGCACCGGTAAGACGCGCTAGAATGTCCGAAGGACATAAAATGATCGGTTCTCGGTTACAAGTAAAACCCTAAAAAAATCTCAGTCTTTGAGTCCGACACCCTAACGTTCCCCGAATCTGTCCCCAGCAGCTGTGGTCGAGTAAATGGAGCATCAAGGACGAGCACAAGCTCCTGAGCGAGCTCGGGGGTAGCGGCGGCGGCGGAGGCGGCGGCGGGGGCGGCGGTACCGGAACCGGAGGCAGCACAGGGGGCGGCGGCGGAGGCGGCGGAGGTGGCGGCGGCGGCGGCGGCGGCGGGTACTACGAGCACGGGGGGTTCCCGGGGAACGTTATTGCCACCTCCGCGGAGCTGTACGACTCCCTGGGCACCATCAGCACCATGACGCAGGCGCAGACGCCGCACCTCTACACCCCGCCCATAGGGGGCACCATAGGTGAGCGCCCTTTCCCCCATCCCCCTCTCGCACGGAGCACGCGCCCTCTGCGTCTCTCTATCTCTCTCTTTCGCTCTCTCTCTCTCTCCCTCTCCAACCCTGCGCGCTTATCATTGCGGCTTACGTCTCGCTTTGCATACCCATATCGGCTAAATAGGCGGCTTTAATAATGCATGAGCGGCGCACGAGGTGGCGGAGCCTCGCCGAGGTGGTTGGGACTCTCTTCCCGGCTTGGGGCGTTTACACCTTCGGGATAACCCTCTCTCTTCCTCGGTATGACGAGGACCAATGGACCGGTGCTCTCTTCTCTTCTATTCCACCCTTCCACTCGCTCCCTCTACGACCCTTCGGAACTCCACCGGAAGTCGGCCCTCTCGGACTCCATCTTGGTTCGCCCTCTCTCCCCGAAACGGCGGTCTTCCGTTCCCCGCGCCTTTCTCTCTGTCTCTCTTTCTATCTCTTCCACCTCCGTCGAGGCGGCTGATCGATAGCGGAACGCTCGAGATCCCAATCGAGAGTATCGAGGCGAGTTGACGGACCGTCGAGGTGCGATATGCGCGGTGGCCCTGATTTCTGTTCCCTCGTTTTTCAATATTTCCAGTGATGTTTCGGAGGCACGCGAGGGAATTTCTTCTCTCATTTCTTTTTTTTTTCTTTTATTTATAAATTGCATTCATCGTCGGAGATACGCGATGGGCGGAGGCGGTTATTTTTCTCCTGTTTTTTTTTTTCTTTCTTTACTAATTTCAGTCATTTTTTCGATGCGCGGTCGTAGTCACATTTTTTCTTTTTATGTTTTTCATTAATCTTATTAATGAATGGCAACGACATTCCATAGGCCCCCGGGAGTCCCGGCCGAGGACTATCTGTGGCACCGTGCAAATTGGCTTTTGGCCTGCCCGGAGAGTCGACTCTCTCGATCGATGCCGTCCATTAGAGAGCTCGCTCTTGACGAGATTTCCATAAAAGTCCCATCGGCCGCGGCTCTTTTCCAGCCTCCCGTTCTCGCCCGACATCTGCCCCCGGACTCTCCCTCTCCCTGGACAGGGGGTCCCTCAGGGTGTCGAAGTTTCTGGATTGCCCGCCTCCTGTGTATCGGCAGTCAATAATTTATCGGACCCCACCACTTATTCCGGAACACCCCTTGATCTCTCGATTTCGATGGTAATCACCTCGGATTGAGCCCAATTTCTATCTCGAAATCAACTTATCGCTCCTCGTGGACGACCTCTCAACTCTGACTCGACGAGCTTGAAAACATTTCGGTGAAACTTCCCGGCCTAGGAGGGTTGTTTTTCCATGGAGAAGGGTTTTTTGGGGGGAGGGCGTCCTCTTTTCTTTTTTTTCTTTTTCGGCGTTCCACTTAGATCTAGCCGTCTCGGCCTGGCCAGAATTGTAATAACGAGAAACTGGGGATCCCACTAGCAGGTGGTACTTTGACGCCGCTCGCGCCACTGACGATGCAAGAGCTAAAATTGAGCCAAACATTGGACGGGGCTAACATGTCTCCTTACCACACCACCGGTGAGTTCTCGCCACCTCAGTAATCTTAACATCTTCGCCCGTGTCGTGTTTGATCGGTCTAATACCTCCGCATCCCTTGCTCCCGCCTGCCACATGTATGCGAACATGTACGGCGAGAAGACCTCGAAGAGCCCGTCTAACCCCGTCCCATCCTAGTCCAAGAATTCGAGAAATTAAGGCGACGCGAAAGCGACGTCCGAAAACGCAATATGAAACTTTCCTCGGAACTGGGTGCGCCGAATCGCTCGAAATTTCACCGCCTCTAACGGGGAGGCCCTTAAAATAGGGCCGACACCCGTGAAATTCAATTATTTCCACAAATGGCAAAGTTTGTTCGTACAAATTTTATGTGAATTCAATTCCATGGTTGTGGAGGCCTACGTATTTATGCGGTATGATTTTTAATAATTCGGTGCAGCTGATTTAAAGAAAACTGTCATAATGGAGACTCCTTGGACGCCACTTTCGACCCGCCTTAAGTCGCCTCCCTATTCAATAGCCTCTGGTGTCCCTCCGGAGTGTCTGGCAGAAGGGAACTGTACGCGTTACGATCGATTGAAAAATCGTGAAAATCATGAAAATCATGAAACTCTCTTGTCAAAGCACCGAATTCGAATACAGCGCCCGTCTGCCAGAGATCTCCGGAAAGAACCGAGGTGTCCTCATCCTGCAAGAGGAGAAAAAGGTAAGAAGAGCGACGGCGAGAGCGAATCCCCCCTCGCCCTAGCGATGCGCACCCGACGGCGGTCGGCGCGCGACTGTCGGCCCGGCCGGGCGCTAATTTAGTCGTAGCCGTCCGAACGCTGATCGTTAGCTAGTGCTTGACCCGAATGTCGTGTTGTGTTGTGCATGGTGTAGCCGAGAGCGGTACCGTCGCAGTCTCGTACGTAGGCGTGGGGGCCGGCGGGGGCGAGCAGAGCCCCCCGATCTCCCTGCAGAACGAGGGGAACGCCACCCCGGCGGCCCCCAACACCCCCGGAGGCGACCCCGGATTGACGGTCCTGCAGCCTCCAGTCTCCCAGCCCCAGGTAGCGTCTGCGATCCCGCCGTACTCCACGATGTTACCCAGTTTTGGACACTACGCGACCGGTGAGTATTACCTGCCTGTCTGTGTCTCTCCTCCTCCTGCTGCACCCTGGAACTCTTCCCAAAAGAGTTCCCTAGGAACTCGGCCAATAAATAAATGACAAACTTGGACCGATTTTCGATTTTTCAAGTGAAACTACACATATCGTACCTGATATATCCGCGGAAAAATATTTTCACGGCCGGGATAAACAATTTTATTCGCTTGCAAATACAAATACAGAAGTTGGCGAGAGATCTTTCTTAAACAGTAGATCTCGATAGGTGGGGGATTTAGAAATTTTAACGTCGCTAATTTCATCGGGAGGGTAAACGAGGGTAATTTTTTTCCCTATTTATGGATTTTTTGCTGATTGCACTCTTATCTGTTTGTCATTCAGGTGGCGGTGATTACGCCTACAGCGCGGCGTACTCTCAGTACTCGAGTGCACCCTACAGTGGGTACGGCTACGGTGCGGCGACAAGCGGGTTGCTCAGTAAGTAAACAGTGAGTATGAGTACAAATTAGATTAGGGTCCATCGACTACCATCCAAGTACTAACAGCGAGTTTCTCGACACCACTTGCTCGACCTCGTACTTAACCAACTTCGACTTGTCACTGGAGAACAAAAAATCCCAAGTCGTCCAATTAAATAATAAAGGTGTCTTAAGAGGATCTAAACATATCAGTCATATATCAGTGAAGATATTTATAAGACTTTTCTCCAAACTGGGCACACCTCTGCACGTCATTATGGAGGTCCTAAGAAATAAAAACTCGATGCCCATGAAATGTCATTTTGCAACGACAAAATAATGGATCTTTGGTTCTAGCCTGGGATAAACAAACGCATTTCTTTTTAATATGAAATTTCACGAGCATCACAGTCTTCCTTAGGGCCTCTATAATCACATGCTGATCTTTCAAACAATTCGGTACATCCATTTTGGGGAAAAGTTTTACATATATTTTGACGTTTCGATATATACAGAATGACCTTTTCGTAACACCTTAAGACGTTCTTATATACGTATATGGTCCTTTAATAAGGCATTACATCCTTCTTATGTAAATATATATATTTCTTTTTTAATGAAGTGGTTTAAACTCAGCCGTCGATTTTCGCTCCCCTTTTCCGATCGCCCTAAACGCCGGGCTGGACAATTTTCCCCGAGTGCACGCGCGAGATAAACGCGCATGAAGTAGCAAAAGATAACTTCGCACGAGTTTCCCCGCGCAGGGAAAGTGACTCTTTATGAAATATTCCTGTTTCCTGCTTTTTGGCACCGACGAGCACGAGTCGCGGTCGATAGCCGGATATACTCGCCATAAACGCGGCTGCCAAATACCGACGCAGGCCCGGGCATCTGTTTCAAACAGTTCCATAGAAAATGTATACCTCTCTACGTAGCTTCCTTTTCGATCGGGAGTAAATATAGGCGGTCCACTCTTTACGAATTTCCATCCCGACGAATTATCATTTTAACCGGCCGCCCATAAGTCTGAGCGTTGCAACCTGAAATCATTTTTAAGCGCTGAAAATATCAAATCCTTCACGGCGAAATACTTCCCTAGTAGCACAAAATATTTCTCCTATATTTTCTATATATTTAACGAATATCGTACATTTTGTAAATATTCACCAGACATTTGAAATATTTGCAAAACGTTCACTTTANATTTTCAACATAAAATTTCAAATATCTTCGAATGAAATCTACAAGAAATCTTACAAAAATCTGTCGCTTGAGATATTTAGCAAAGATTACAATGAAATATTTAGAAATTATTCGATGCTACTAGGGTTTAAACTGTGCGAGATGGGCCAATACTTTGTATAAAACACATATAGCAGATGTACAGCCAGTAGCAATAATAATTAAATAAAGTACTGCATAATTATTTTTATTAAGATATATCGCGCTGCCATTTTTTACGGAATCTGGACTTACTCCTAAATGAGAATAAATCGGGAATAAATAAGCCGCGTAAACGAAATCCGATTGATCGGCACTCGACGACTCCCTCGGTCGATTCGTTCCATGTCAACTTATGAAGATGAGCCTTCAAGGATGCGTTTCGTATGCGCCGACATAATAGGGAGTATAATTCGCGAACTAGGGGACTTTGTTATTGTAAACACGATATGTTAATAACGCGGCCCTTACGTAACGAGTTTTAGCGATACCGTAAAGAGTATCCGGTACTCACACGACGAGCTATCGAATTACTCAAGATACTTAGGTTTCTCTGAGAAAACATCCTGACGTGCATTCAACGAGCACCTCAGTGTCGCCTAGAAATCGAGCGATCGTAAGCGGAAACGAATCGCCGCAATGTGAAACTCGAAGGTATCGGCGATTCGATTCGGAAAAAAGAAATGAAAAAAAAAACGTAGTCTCGTAACAAGTTACTCGTAACCTCGAAAGAAGCCCCTCCCAAGTGATCTCTTGGATTTAGAATGTCGGCTGACTCATATATTTAATTTCAGAATCGGCAAATTATTTTCTTACTTAACAATTAAGGTGATGTGAATTTGTCGTCAAAGAGGTCTCGTTTATGAAACTTTTCTCCGAACAGGGTGTACCGAATCGCTTCAGACCTTACACTGCAAATACAGAGGCTATAAGGAAAATCTTAACCCTTTGAGCGCTAAGCACTTTCGACATACGGGCGAATTTCCTTAGACCGCGCGCGCGATATTGGACCAAACGTCCGACGCACATATGCGTCGATAGCGCTCAAAGGGTTAACACCCATGAAACTTCAATGTCATTAGAATTTCCTTACCGATATTTACAAAAATTGTTTATAAGAAATGAAATTCCAGGAGCGTTGGGACTGTCCTAATGGTCTTTGTATTTTGGTAAATTTTCGAAACGATTCGGTACGCCCAATTATACACCCAAAAAGAAGATTGTCACGAACGATTGACTCCTCGGATGCCACTTTCTAACCCCCTTAAGTGTTGGGCCATGGAAGTAGAGAAACGCGAGGCAAATGAATACAGTCCTCGTATCCAACGTTCATGTATCGGACATGGATTCCAGTTTGAATAGCCCGCGCCTCGCCATGGTTCTCGGGAAGGCCTCGAGTGGCGCTAACGTCGTGGTCTGATTACAGGCTCGACGTACTACTACTGCAACGGGGACACGCTGGCGTCTTCCCAGAACGGCGGATGCGGCAACGGAGGTCCGGACGGGAGCGCAGAGGTGGCGAGTCGCTCTCCGCTCGCGGCGACGCGGGCGAGCAGCGGCGCAAGCGCGGCCTCGCCGACCGGAAGTGCCTGCACCAAGCCGGACCACGCCGGAACGCCGACGGACCTTTACCTGGCCTGAATGGGTCGCGACCCGGTCGAATCCGGCAGGGACGCCATATCACACCGAGAGCACCGATCTCCGCTGGCACGAGGGGAAGAGGCGCGAAAAACCGTGGAAGAGGAGTTTGCCAAATATATTCGACGTATTCGCCCGGGCCGACCCGGGCGCAGCGCGCGCCACTCGTAGATAGTTTAATTTATCGCGTACCACCCGATTAGCATAATTCCAGGGACCCGGGCCCAGATTCTCGAGTTCATGCGGATTTTCTTCGCACCCGAATAGATTCCCCCGAAAAAATTTTGCATTATTGCAAAATCCCGTCATCGGTCAACGTTTCAAAGTCCCATATGAAATTCTCAATGTCGCATGCGAAAGTTCGTCGGTATGAACTCGAGAATAGGGGATCGATTCTGTAACTCGAATCCAGGGAACATTCCAAAAGTGAACATCTCCCGCGATTCCGTTACTTTAACTATGGTCAAAATGTGAGATACTTCGTGTGAGAGTACTCGTCCAGAAACTCCAAGATCTCGTGACCGAATTCCTTCGATTCTAGAGATCTCACATTCTCACTCGGAGAGTCGATCGAATAATCTCACGTGAGACGACGCGAGAAGTGCGCACTCTCGGCGAAGTTACAGAATCGACCCCCTGATTCTCGAGTTCATGTGGACTTTTTTTCGCCCACGAAATAGATTCGCCTGTAAAGTTTTGCATTGTTGCGAACTCGCGTAATTGGCCAACGTTTAAAAGTCGTACAAGAAATTATCACTTTCGCGTGCGAATGTTGATAATTTGAACTCGAGAATAGAGTCCCAGGCCGCCCACTTCGTGGAGTCGCCGTGGACGTGTGGCGTATGGACCTCGACGATCCCCTTAATGCGTCTGTAAGGGCAGCGAAAAGAAAGGAGAACGTGCAGAGGAGCTATTGTCTCTCTTTCTCTGTTTCCCTCCTGGGACCCGATTCTTGAGTTCATACGATTAACTTTGACGTGCAAAATTAACACTTACGATTTTCAAACCTTGACCAATGACGCGACATCGCAACAATGTAAGCTGTTCATGCGAATCTATTCGTATGCGAAAAACGATCCCCCCGTATTCGAGAATCGGTTCGCTGTTAGATAGACCGTCGCCATATTGCGCCGCGTAGTTCGTGACAGAAGAGGGAAAGAAGAGAGAGAAAACTGCCCCTCTGGATTTTCTCTTGCATTTCTACCGTTTATGTGGTCAGGTTAGGGTCGAGAAATCCATACATCCCGCGTTTATGGAATCTCTCGTCCGTAGTCCCGCTCGCGGATGGCCGCCTTGGAGCGCGTCGTTGCAAATGGCGGACGTTGCGAGGACGCGCTATTAGAGGAACCGGCCAGAGTGTGTCGCCCTGACCCGGGGATCTTGTACTGGATGCTCAAGGTCGGTGTACCGGGTGTTCCGGGGCCGTCATCGTGCGGTTTCTATGCGGATTTTCGGCCCGAGGCGACTTTTCCTCGGTTAGGCGCGCGCGTGCGCTCTGGTCCAAGATGGCGGCGAGCGCGCGGCTCATTGAGATTTCTAAATCACGAATCGAGTTACGATCGACTACTTCTTAAGGATATTATATATTATATTTTTTGTAGAAGACCAAAGAGAGACCACACACAGATTACGAGGTAGCGTGCGAAGGTCAGAGTTTGCGCCGGAGAGAAGGATGGAGGATATGCGAGAGAGAGAGAGAGAGAGAGAAGAGCGAGCGGTTACTGTACATAGGCACGCACCAATGGCCGACGCGGTGTAGTCGAGTGTCCGAAAGGGAGATAAATAGAGATCGGCCGATCCGAATCGCTAGTCGCGGACTTTTAGCTCGCGGCTAACGAGTGTACACCGTAAAGAACCCGGTCCGAGGCTGTCCCGATTGGTCCTTATCGCCATTCGATATTTCCAGCCCGTTTGAGGTTAAGTCCGAAGCCCTACGAGGGTCGTCGGAGAAAAATTGACCAAGATGTACGCCAAGCATATTTTCAAATGATATTACAAGTAGCAGCGAAAGGCACTCGCGGGTTATCTCCAATTTTAAAATCTACTTAAGCCTTTAAGGCTGGTCTCGGATTGATGCCGGACATTCTTTGCGTTGTACAAGGGACGCCGTAAAGAGACTAAGCGACGTGGAGCACGCGTTGTTGCTAGTTGTAAAAAGGTAGTAGGCGTCATAGTTTAATCCGAGACTTCGTTCCTTCCATTCCATCGAGATCTCCTCCCGTTCCTCTTCGACTTCGGATAGGAAAAGCGTGCGGTAAGAGGCTCTCGCTAATCGCCTCCAAGAACGTTGAATAACGCGCGAATTGGGCCGCTTCCCCTCTTCCGATTTACTTTCGCTCCGTGGGACGTTGATAAAACAACCGATAAAAGCCGTTTACCGCCATGGTCCTGACTTGTCCGAAGTCCCGAGCAAGATTCTCCTAAGTTCGACGAGGCGAGTCGCGACCGGCGATTTTCGACTCGTCGCCCCCTGCGTTCTTAGCGACCCCCTTAACGCGAGATTACTTTGTCCCACTTATCGTTAAGGTAAGACTAGTAACGGCCCTCACCCTCTACTCGATTGGGAACGCTATTTAAAATTTAATGTAAAGTAGTGTGAGACGTGCGGTGTAGGAGGAGGGAAGAATGGCGGCGAGAGCGAGCACTCGCGGAAGTTCTCCTCGAGAGCGGGCGGAGTTATCCAAAGAAGCAGAGGCAGAGGTAAAGACGAAAAGTCCTCCGACATCTCGCGGCAAAACCCCCCACAGACAGACCTTCGCGTTATTTCGGGAGGAATTTCGAAAAAGAGCCGCCGAGGGATAAATGCGCGCTCGTTCAAAATGGCGGCCGGGCAGGCGTCGCCCCCCGCCATCTTTATTTGATTATTAATCGCGTACTCTACATTGTTACTTTATTATCGCGACTATTATTAGTACCATTATTATTACCTATTATTATTGCTCTATTATTATTGCTCTATTATTATCGCCCATTATTATTTCCATTATTATTGCTATTCCTTTATTATTTATTAATTGTAACGATAACCTATGTGTAATAAGTTTTGCCAAAGAACATTTGAAAAGGAAACGACGAAGATTTTAAGCAATACCGCAATATTTTAGCGTCCATGAGATGGAGCCGTTTTAAAGAAACGTAAAAATAATGAGAGAAGAGGGAGACGAGAGAACGCACGGGGCGCGCGCGCGATTGGCGGGCCAGTTGAGCCCGCGAATTTTGAATCCGGGTACAGGCCCGCTCGATTCTGCGCGCGCCGCACGCCGTTTCGCGAATCGCAAGATTATCTCTTATTTCGTTCTTTGCCCCGTGTGATATTCTTGTTCCGTGCGCCGCTCTTGCCGAGTCTCGCTGTTGATACTTGCAAACAAAACTCTGTAAATCCTTTTTGAATAAATATGAGGTTTATACGACTGCCAGCTTTCTGATCCCGTGTCCGGGTTTTTCCTAAAGGAGGGTTCTTAACTTTATTTCAGTATGAAAACGCCTCTTTACTATTTTTACAAAGGAGAGTGATCTACTCGGATAGAGGTGAGGTATTAGTAAACCGGAATTGAAAAAAAGAGCGAGAGTTACGCAGAATTGTTAATAAAAAGAATTAGTTTCAATAAGATCTGGGGGTAAATTTTTCGATTAAGACGAAAGGTGAAGCAAGCAGCAAGAAGTCTAGTAAGCATTTGTGCGAGAAAGATGAAACGATGGACGGCGCTCCATCGGCACTTTTGTTTAAAGTTATTTCACAAGCACGCAGCATGCATTGCCGAGTGTCGCACAGAGCGCAGCGCGTCAACGCGTCCAGAACGAAGAACCAATCAAAACTGCAACGTAAATGACGCACTAATTGTTACATCTTTACACATCAGAGATGAGTTGGGAAACTGCTCATGGGCAGGATCGTGCGATCGCATCCTGTGCTGCCCTCAGGTTTCGTACGTTAGCTTTCACCGTTTTTTGCCCCCCAGGGCGGCGCAACGAATTTCTGATAGGAGCTCGCGCACTCGCGATGGCGGTACCATCTACCAGTCGCCGTTGGCGGCTCACGTACTCGTGATGGTAATACCATGCGGCAGTTGACGGTGGT